AGACAGATGAGTCACACACAGACAACTCCCCGATAGTATGCGTTTTTGCATTGCAAAAATATAAAAAAATGCATAAAAAACGAATTTGCTTTCTAAGGTAATTGTTTGCAGTTGTTGATGAGTGTCAGACTGGACAAAATGATTGCTCACCGGAGGCACATTGCATGGATACAGAGGATTCATATGAATGTGCTTGCCCGGCTGGATACATTGATGTATCACCGGACACTGCTCAGAAACCGGGAAGGCGATGCTTACTGAGTAAGTTTTGGGTTCATCTGCTTGTCGGTGAAGGCTGCCTTCTTGCTGTTTGGTTTTATGCACATTTTCAGTAAGCGTGATATTTCACACTCGTTTAAATTTTTGCAAGCACTTTTATTGACTTATCTAGTTAAGCACCCAGAGCCTACAGTCCTTGAAAGATTTCTTTTAGCATTTTATAAATTGCCCTGTACTATGCTAGTATGCAAGAATTTGTTGAAACACATAACGCTTTAACTTCTTATTAATCTTATAGATTAGCACTGTCGAAGCTAGTCCAAGAGGCTACATTTAGAGCTGGCTAAATTTACTCACTGACATATGCTAGTTACCAATTTATCATTGGAAAAAAGTAACTTTTAAGCTTACACACTTACGCTATTCAAATTCACTAAGCACTGAGATCCAACATTCCAGATGCAGATAGTAACTTTTAAGATTCTGTGTGATCTTTATAATATCCGAGGGAAACACTGCAGGAGTGAATGAATGTAAGGAAGGTCGACACGATTGCTCGCCAAATGCAGACTGCGTGGACACTGCCGAATCATATATCTGCAAGTGTCGCGATGATTTCGTAGACGAATCACCGGATACCAAAAATCGCCCAGGAAGAATCTGTCGTCCGGCGCTGATCGATGAGTGCAGGCTTGGCAAGCACGACTGTAGCCAAAATGCAGTGTGCCAAGATTTACCGCAAGGTTATACATGCCACTGCAAGTCCGAATTCATCGACCAGAGCCCGAATCGAGCTTCATTGCCCGGACGTCTATGTGTTCCAAGACCAACAGCACCACCCGAGGAATGCCGGATCGATGACAGTGCATCGTCTTGCAAAGAGGAACTTAATGAGGTAAGTTATTGATACCTAGCACCTCAAGAATTTGCTGGTCCTCTAAATGCACCTTTCCTAGTTGTTTTTACCAATGCTGCATCGCCTGTAGTCAGCCCTCTGGCGATCCTGGCTTTCTTTGTGTGTACCGGAGGTATCGCGGACAGGCCCTCCTTTTGAAAAAAGTTGTGGATCGGGAGGAATTCGAACCACTTGTCTTCGCATCCAGACGCAGTGTGCTAGACTACTGTACCACCAACAGTTGTGCTGCACTCATCTACTGGAGTACCTCTGCCCCTGTACGTATGGGACCTTAATGCATGCTTTGTATCGTCTGGCTACCACGCCCAGGGCGGCACATTGCCAGTTTTTCACGGCACTTTCGGGTAGAAGTACTACCAGCACTAATATATATGTATATTTCTTATTTTTACTTTATTCTTGCTACCAGGATAAATTTTCAATAGCTTGTTGAAGAAAAAATGCATTATATATTAGTGCTCCGATGTGGATTGTTATTTAGTGATTTTTATTTAAGAGCATTCTGTTATTTTGCAAAAGATTTGGCTTTTTTATTGAAATTTTAGTTTAAAAAAAATTCTATTCTTCAAAATTCTACTCCTGGCCAAAAGCTTATTGCTTTTTGACTCAGTCTGCCTTGTTTTTGAACTCGTGCGAATGATTTTGTTCGTTCACTGAGTGCTCGATTTTTCATACATGAGGCGTCGCCAAACGGTCACATCGTCGTGTTTCTAAGCTTAATGTTTTCCAGTCTGTATAAACGCAAAAGCGTGTTAACATGTTCAGCATGTGTTGGCTTCCACCAGTACTTCATCCAGTGTATGATCATAAAGCGACTACTGAAACGTATTAAATTATTTAACTGTTTAAGGTTTGTCGACTGATCAATGGTAAGCCGAAATGCGCATGTCCAATAAACTACAGCCGTGATCCGACTACAAAATCGTGCACCACCATCGATGAATGTCAGTTCCCGCAGTTGAACGATTGTCATCCTAGCGCTGAATGCATCGATAAGCCGGTCTCATACACGTGCCGCTGCAAGCAGGGCTTCAAGGATATATCACCGGGTGACAAGCCTGGTCGTGTCTGCCAACCATGTTCGTTCTTTTTTAGTTAGGCTAACGATTGTGATGACTGCGCTCTATCTTAATAGTTTGGTTAGAATGCTTTTTGAATGGCACCCATGTAAATATATTTAGAATTTACGGCTCCAAGTAACTGATTACGTCCAAGTGGTACTGTGATTCCTAGATATTCTACTGTAGAATAGACTCAAACACAGGAACTACAAATATCCTTAAAATTTTCTTAAAATATCCCAATTTCTCCGACTATCGTCCTGAAACATATCAGTCACTCAATTGACCAGTATATCCTGCTCACTGCTTTACAGACGTTAATGAATGCCAGTTTCCGCATCTCAATGATTGCCACCAGAATGCGGAATGCATCGACAAGGAGGATGGTTACGAGTGTCGCTGCAACCAGGGCTATATGGATCGACAACCCGAGCGACCAGGCAGACTGTGCAAAAAGAGAGTGGATGAGTGCGCGAAACCCGAACTCAACAGGTAGTAGCAAATCCTAGGATTTTACGAGAATACTTCACGCTTCTGGAATTTTTCTAATTCTTACCATGCCTGAATATTTCGTAGTTCAGCTACTAAATATGCTTATTGTTCAGTGTGGAGAATGAAGATGGTAGAGCGCTAAATCCTAAATTTAGCGGTAATTTTAGGGAAGCACTCTTTTAACATTCATCCCATAGTTGTAAACAAAGAGAAAGAGAAGAATAGAATTCATCAGTACACCCTCCTGCTTCGAACTTGGGATACTATTTGGAAATGCAGCGAAAAATGCTAACAAAGTGCCAGTTTCAATGACATGATAAACTGTGCAACCTGCAGCTGTGACAAAAATGCGAACTGCATCGATGAGGAAGAGGGGTATCGGTGTGAATGCAAAGAT